AAAAAAACCCCAAAAAGCAGTTGAGTGTTTTTTTAAACATGAGGTAAGCTGGCAGGAGAAGCGACATTCCCAAAGGAAGCACCTCACCTGAAAGCAGTGCTACTGGTTTTTATTTCTTGGGTGATGGCCAAAGCTTTGGTGACAGCAAAACCAATGACAAATAACCAAACATTTAACAAACACTTTTTCAATCAACATTGTTATGACTGAATCCCCCAGCAATCAGTTAGTGTGCGTTAAAAACCCCACAGCCTATAGGTTGATCAATGCTTTTCTGTACCAAGGACATTACAAAATAATTGTAATAAGTGTGTTTATTCCACAAAAAAGAAAAGTTTACCAGTCTGAGCACAGTCCATAATGCAGAATGAGACACCACACAAGTCACCCCCATCCCCAAAGTTCCTTTTGTGCACAAAGGAAATCTCAGTGCAGCACTGAACATTAATTTCTGACGTTTACACTTATTTGGAACAGAAGTTGTTTTGGCTGGCAGCTATTGTGACAGATGTATTAAATGTGGAGAGCCACAGCACATCTCTAGGCCACTCCCAGCAAACAAAGGGGCTCAAACAATACGACTCGATACATTACACATGTTGTAATATTTTATATATGGAAGTATATAAAATATATACACATATTCTTGCAGGTATGTTGATTTTTTGAAAATTAACATGTTTTTGTATCCCAGCTGGAAAAATCTGGGAGAGACTTGAGAGTATTTAAAACAACTTTCAAGCACAGTATGAAAGGAAGTGTGAATAGTAACTTTCAAACATTTATCAGAAAATCTTGTCCACCTATAGACTTTCCAAAATGTCATTGCATCGATTGATTGTTGCACATCACAATAAGCATTCCTTAAACAAATCAGTTGCATGACCAATACTGTATTTCCTCTGCTAAAAACATTAAAATCCAATAATACGGATTTTCCAGAGCTCTCCAAACCCATTATAAAATTTTAACTTAAATTTTTGTTTTGTTTTGTTTTTTACAAATGTTACTTCAGAGGAAATACAGACCCAGTGTAAATTACTGAAACATTATCCAACATGGTAAAATGCCAAGAGATGCAAAAACCAAACCAAATCAAACACAAAAAAACTTTCAGTGCTAAGCAAGAAAAAAAATAAAATAATAAAAAATAAAAATCAACACTTTGCTCTCAGGATGCATTAGTTAAGATATTGCTCAAGCTAAGCAGAGGGCTCAAAATAATTTTTGTTTTTAGGAATTACAGGAACTACTGAAAGCCATCAAGGTTCAAAAAGGTTCAAAAAGGTTCTATCAAGGTTCAAAACAACCTAACTTTAGAATGGTTTATCGGGCACCGTTTCTGAACACTCTCGGGAAATCAAATTTCTGTGGGGAATAAAATATGACACCTCAGTTATTTGACACAGACAACGGTTTATCTCCCCGTGAGGCATCCCGAGATGCTACAGCACCATCCGCACAGAACGAGGTGACCCCTCTGTCTCTCGGGGAGCTGCAGGGTTCTCTGCACAGGACAGGGAGCACCTCCTGCCTCAGAGAGCGAGTACCTGTCCTGTGAGCAGGGCAAGGAGCACTGGCTGTCCTGAGCTGGAACACGAGGGCCAAGGATGAAGGGACACATACGCAGGCAAAACCTCACTGCCCTCCCCCTTCGGATACCCTCTGGATGGACACAGCACCCACCTGCCTTCAACCTGAAAATCCCTTCCTTTCTTCTCTCAGGTTCTGCATAAACTACCTTAAAAGACCTGAAACAGAACATCCTCCCCCCCCCCCCCCCTCTCCCCCCCCCCCCTTCTTCCTCCACATATAAAATCAATTTAAGAAGCTGGTTTACATCATCCAGGTACGTCCTGAACTGCAACAAGATCAAGCTCTATTTGCCACCTCTTCACCTGACTGTGTAAATAGCTTCCCTGAAGCTGGAATAGCCTAGGCCAGAAACAAAGTGATTTAATGTCTTTCAAGGAGAATTTAGTGACAGCAATTATTTTAAGCCCTTTTGTAATAAAAAAATTGCCAACAACACGAACACAGGCTCACAATAATCAATGAGTGAAGGTCACTGAAAAGCAGTCAGTGGTGCTCGACAAGCAGACATTTCTCGTTTGATTTAAAGAGAGAGAAATAACAGAAAAAGCAAAAGTAAATTAAAGAGAAAGAAACTATTTTTGGTTATTACCTTTCTCACATTTCTTTTTGGAAGCTGACGAAGGAGGAGGAATCATAGGTAATTTCATCAACTCAGCACGATTTGATTCATTCAGTAGGTAGTGGGACTTATAGGCATATGAACTGAACAGGGGGTCTGAATGATCCTGCACTACCAACCCTATACGAAACAAACAGAAAGAGATGAGTTGCAATGAAACTACCCATGATTCCATAAAGGAGAAAATAAAATAAATCAAATGAACACCTCTAATGCATATATGTGTGAATGAAAAAAAAGATAAAACGAAGAAAAAGAAAAGTCTGACAGAAAGTTTCTTCGCTAAGACAGAGGTTTTATGTGCTTGAGAGTCTAAATTAAAATGGAACTGGAAAACCCTACGACGAACAAGCTGTTCCTAAGTGGAATTTCAATTGTGCTTTTCCCCTTAAATTTGTGCATCTATAGAAAAGCACAAGAAAAGCAATCAATTTTAATTTTGTGTGGCCAACCCTCCCTCCCAAATGAAAAAGCAAGCTAGTCTGAAGAGCTGGGGGATGACAGTCACCGCCTCAAAGGTCATGCTGTTAGTTGGGGCTACAAACTGAAAAAGCAGAGGCTGTACACAAGAGCTCACCATCCCACTTACACAAATCTACCTCTAAGATCTCATCTACCAAAGTGTTTTGCCTTTATAGCTGTGGTGGAAAAAATAACAAGGGGGGGGGTCAGTGATTTTGCAAGGCACCAGAGAGGAAAGAACAGATGGAAGTGCTGCCCTACACAGTTTGTTTTCAAAGAAGGCTCCACCAACCCTGCCCTCCCACAGCTACTCTGGAGCAGCCAAGCACCCTGTTCTCCCATGTGCCTTTATTTCAAATGATGTGTTTGCATTTCTTTGTCTTTCTCCAACAAGAAGAGTTTTTCCTCACTGCTCCAAAGAGCCAGGCAGCCCAGGTGAGAGCCTCATAGCTATAAATAAGCATCATCTGGCCAGCAATTCATGGGAAGAAGGGAGCAACTGAGACCCAAAGAAGCAGGAAAGATGAGGTACCAAGACAGCCACCAATCCCTTCCCTGGTGGGACAGAGGCAGAGCCGAGCGCTGTAGAGAAGCTTTTGAACTGGAGTGCCTAAAACGCCGCTGTACGGAGAATGGCATCAGCCTACCTGCAAAGCGTGCCCTCAGGAGGATTCACAACACAAGTGTGACCTACACGTGCAACTGGGTGAACTACAACGTGCTTAATGAAGGGTATTTCAGGAAGGTAAGAAGTCTTAAAAGATACTGTATTTCAAGTACCTCATGATAAGCAAGTTTTACAGTGTCTCATATCTACATTGTCTCACTTCAGTAATGTTTTGGGTCTAAATACAAAGTTCCTCCTTCTGCTATCAATTAACACTAATTAAGTCACCTTTCTCACACACAGATGCACAGTATTTCTAAGCATTCTGTTCCCCATTTCTTTCTGAGCAGGCACTCTCAGTGCTCCTGCCACAGATGCTGTCCTCACCTTCTGTCCCTGATGCTGATCACATATGACCAGACAGGACTCAATTCACCCCATCCAGGGGAGTTTGCTAAATGTAAACCTCACACAACCTGTTGTCAGTGAAGCACACTGGCTCCTCATTCCAGCTATGGCTAGGAGAAATAAACCCCACCAAAATTTTCTAGAAGAACAAGTACGTAGTTGCTGTAAAATACAGAAGATTCAGTCAGTGGTAGAGGTTTTTAACTTTTCAAATTCTCATAACTAAGACTCAAGTGAATATAGAGGACAGGAAATTCCATTTGCTGGGGTTCAGAGGTTACTGATATTGCCAGGAGAAAATACAGACTTCTGTAGTTTCAGCTCTGATGAAGCTAGATTCAGGTATAAACAAAATTACTAAAACAACGCCAAATGAAAAAGTAAATTAAAATTTTAAAAAAGCATGAAAGTTTTCTTCTGCACTACATTTATTTGTTAGAAATAAACGCAGGTTTGCCTCTTCAGTGAGTGCAAGACTCCCTTACTGTAATTTAGGTTTGGAATTCTATTCCTAAATTCTGATTTCTGTGTTGTATCTATAAGATGGATGACAACAGCGGGTATTCCTTTTCATAAAGCTCTTAAATACCCTCTGCCCAAGAGAAGTTAGAGGCCTCTATTTTAGTCCTGTGTGTCACAGAGTAAGTAGCCAAAACCTGGAGAAAAAAATTCCCAAGATTCACCTTTATATGTACTTGTAACAAGCTCCTGCACATTAGCCAAAACCTGGAGAAAAAAATTCCCAAGAAGATTCACCTTTATATGTACCTGTAACAAGCTCCTGCAGAGTTATAATCTAAGTAGGTTCTTCTAGGATATCTGGATCTTATGTCCACTTCAGGTGTCTGTAGCAGCTGCCCACAGGTTTAATAAAGTACAACTTCAAAGAAATTGATTTAGCTGGTTTGTATCATGCAGTGTATTTTGATAACACAGTTTAACAGTGGTTTGAAATTGGCAGAAAACCAAGTGTTTAAGGTGAGCCCGATGGCAGGAGCCTGCCACTGCTTTCCATTCCCATCTCATACAAACACAGCTTCCATAACTGAGATCAGCGACATTCACAGTGGCTGAAGTCCCATGACCTACCTCACGGAGGAGCAGAGCAGCAGGACATTATCCTACCGACCAGAATTCTTCACATGAATACTTACAGGGGCAGACTAAAGCCACCGTTGGACCCTGCCAAGAGACATTTCTAATCTGACATTAAAACCAGGGAAGATCCACAGAAACTCTTCTGTCATAAATCTATAATCTGACCCTGGCACCAGACTGACTCCGGATAAATGAGATAAAAAACATCAAAGCGCTGAAAATACTATGGAGCTGCTCTACCTACCACAGAAACTGTTTTTAATGATTCAACTCTAGCTCTAGAAAACACACAACTTCTTTCTGCATATTTAAGTTGGGCTTTTGGACATAACGATGGGTTAAACTAATAATGCTGAAGGATGGGTACTTGTTTTTCTGAGGTCACATTTGATGCGGAACGCCCCAAAGCATCTATCTGCTCACAGAACGTGACATCACACATTTTCAGCTACCTCTAGCTCAAAGACATGGCAACTGGCTTGGTTTTGCTGTCCAGACTGTACATTTGTATGTGTAATAGTACTACCAGCCAAAATCAAACCCAAAACATATATAAGGGAACCTAAAGAACTAAGCTAAAAGAGCAGAAAGCTGCATACAATGTCAGATTTGCATGTGTACATTTATGCAATGACAATGTGATTCAAGTCACATATATCCTGTGTTGGGGTGGTGTCAAAATGTTTAAATAAGCCCACAAAAGGAGAAACACTGACCCATGTGGTAACCAAACATCTCTTTACACATTCACAAGAGCTCTTCTAAAGATCATTCTAAAACTTACTGTTTCTCTCTGAGCTTCTAGATTTGTTTTTTTAATATTTTATTTTAAACTTGATCCTTTCTGATGGCTCCTAAATTACTTGGAAATGAGGAAAGAGGAAGAAAGAAGAGAGGTAGAGAGGAAATCATTTTGGCACCATCTTTCCCTTCCTATGCAATGATCTTTAATTGCTACTCTGCTCTTGCAAATTCAAGGCAATCTTCCCCATCCTAAACCTCCATCTGAATGAACACGAGTGAAAACAAGTAACTTCAGGATTTGTCTCATTTTTACTTCCTTATTAGTGACTTTCAAAGCTGCTGAAAAGAATACATCCGACATAAACTTCTGAAATACTGTATAAGACACACATTACTATTCAAACACCCAACAGTTTCATTTCAATTAATCTCAGAGAATGATGATACTTGTTGCATTACAGGACTAAAGTAACTGATGCACCGAAACTTTTTGACCTGCTGTCTGGCAGAAGACGAGTGACCCAAGAGCCATAAAAGTAACAAGTGGGGAAAAAAAAAGGAAATAAGGAAAAAAATAAAAAAGAAGAAAAAAAAAAAAGATAACTTTGGCATATGGAAAATCCCAGCATGAAACCTGTTCATACAGTATTGCAAATGTTTTTCTTTCAAAGTTCTCAAATGTGATGGTAGTTCTAAATTAAAATGATTTTTTCTAGTTCATGAGTAAATCCTACCTTTTAGCCTTAAAAATTTAAACGCTTTTAAGTTTGTGAGTGGTGAAAGAACCCCCATCTGCTTAACAGAGAGCGGATAAATAACACAGCACCCATTCTCAGCTTGTAATGGTTGGAACTGAGGGCTCAGCATCCACTTTTTCCTACTGGCAAAACAAGTAGACCTTCTGAGTACCTATCACTGCTTCTGAATATCAAATATTAGGGACCAAAACAGCACGTGGAAATCTCATGAGAACTGCTGACCAAAAAAAAAAAATAAGTCACAGGCAGCACTTAAATCCCACAGAGCCCTAAGGAAAGAGTTCTTTATGAAATACATTATTTTTATCACTAAACTGCACAAGTGACCATAGAACTATAAAAGGGGAAAAAAAAAACAACCAAGTGTGCTCACCTCTTGCACAAACGAAACAAAAGCCTACATTTACAGCTGATGAGGAGTGATTCCTTTTGGAATGGTTACTACAGATGAGAATGTGGGATGACACAAACAAGCTTCCTGCAGCAATACAGCCATCTCCTGAGTGATAGGCAATGGGACATCTGAAACATCTCACCATGCGACCTGTGCAATATAAATGCAGAGAAATGCACCGTGTCACCCTGGAGTCAGGATAGGGTAGAAGACACCACAGACAGATGCAAGGCTGATTTTTATTCCAATCAGAGTACTAGATTAAAAAGAAACATTCACATCTTTAAATCACAAAAGTTAACTCTTAAAACTCTTTTAAGAAGAAAAAATACACGGTTTTAGTAATTCTACAGTCTACTCATTTTATTTAAATATTTTGGTTAATTTCTAGAAGGATTGATTTTTTTTTTCTTGAAAAGTAATTTTTCTAAAGGCCACTACCAACTGTCTTTAAAAAACAAAACAAAAACCATGCCTTGCCTTGCACTAACTCTCAGCTTCCATTAAACCCAGCAGTAAAGCTGACCTAAGCTGCAGACCCAGGTACACCTCAACAGCAGTCTCATGCCCCAGCTGTTTCCCCACCCACGACACATCCAAGTTAATGACCTCATTAAGAAGGAAACCCTCGTTCCTCGCTGCACAGGGTAGAGTTATATTCATTGCTATTGTGATGACGCATCTGAGTTTCCTCCTGCTGCTCAAAGCCAGCTCTGTCCTCACCTTTGCTTGCTTTATGAATGTCCTTATCCACCGAGCAGGCAGTACAGCAGTGCTGCGGGCAGCGAAACCCTCGCGACTCGAACAGAGCAGTGGCAAACTTGCGGACACAGGCCTCGTGATAGAATTTACCGCAAGCGTTGACGGAACAGCGCTTCACATCCTTGCCGGGGAGTTTGCAGGAAAAGCAGGTGTGTTCTCCTTGTAAAAGAAGGAATAAGGAAGCCCAACTTACTCCAATTCTTTCAGATACAGATGCTGTTAAATATTCTGAAGCAAGCAGAGTTACGCTGGTTTGAGCAACACAGGCTCCTTCCCTTCCAACAGGTAAACTGGTTACTATGAACCACAATAATGATGTAACTGCTGTTAACATAAAAGTCCATTATTCTAAGTAAAACCCTAAGCAGTTTATTACTTTTTTCCTATCAGGTATTTGCTAAATGGAAAATGAGAATCTGGCCTCGGACATTAAAAAAGTAATAGAATAACCAAACCCACTCCCAAAACCTAGAAACTTACCACCTCTGCTTGCTCTGACCAGAAATCAGAGCCTCAAAGTGGGGAATCCCTCCCCATTTTTCAGAGGTGGGAACACAACTCACCGTTTTTACACTCGGTGCAGATGAACTTCTCATCGGGCATCGCCTTCAGGCCCAGACACTCCACGTGGAACACACTGCAACACTCTCCCTCGCAGGACACCAGGGACTCGCCAGAGCTCTCGCAGATCTGAAACAAGCAGACAGCTAGTCAGAGAACAACAGCTACCTGACATACTTAAATGCAAATGACTACCAGATGTTAACAAAGAGTAGGAACTGGCTGAAATCTCTCCAGGGCTAAGACAAGGCAGGAGGACTGGCCTACATCCTGCAGCAGACCTGGTCAGTCTCTGGGCTGAAGACAATTCCCAGCACTTTGCATCTTGCTCTTGTAACAGTGAAAGCCCAGAGAGAGATAGGAGAGGCACTACAGGATCCATCTGGACTCCTTGTTTTCTGACACACCTGAAGAGTGAGAGGAGCTTGTTCTCTTACTATCAGCTGGGAAACTGGCCAGAAAACTCCAGGATTTTCTCTCAAAAATATTGGAAAACTCTCACTCTGTCCTATTCTGAGAGACCATCTAGAATCTTCAAATGGGAGCAGAAAATGGCATCTACTTTTTCTATTTACGCTAGCAGGTATGGATTAGATATCACTTCCTAGCTTTTGAGCTTTCTGACATGCAGGAGAGTTTATGAATCATTTCCAGAGCATAAAAACTAAAAGCCTTGATACTTTACCCGAGATGTCAAACTATGAGACAGTTAAAACAAAGTAATGGAACTTGAAAAGTCTGTCAGCTGAAATGAACAGAAATAGACAATATATCTTTAGTATTCATGTCTTTACAGTATCATCACTCACCTGACAAACAGTGTCTTTTTTATTTGTTCCAGTTCCTCTCCTGGATAAGCTGGAGTCGACCGACTGCACGTCAGAAGCATCAGCATCGGCAGTAGCTGACGGGCTGTCTGAACGCTTTCCAAAACTACCCTACAAAGAGGAAAAATCCAAGGCACTCAAACAAGACACTTCCAAAGGACAACCACACTCTGAAAAAAACAGTGAAGTCACGACTGATTAAAAGATCATTCAATATGTCAAGAGATACAAAGCTCCTTGAAAGCTGCTGAACTTCATTAGAATGATACAAGAAGTGCTGCCTTCTTGACAACTTTTATCTGTACAAGCAAAAAACCATCAAGATATCTATCTTACATTTTCCAGGCACCTCTTAGTTTTACACTAAGATACAGCAGTATCCCCCAGTTCCCAAAGAATCTAAAAATCTTTGACAGAGCAAACCGAGTCAGTGGGCTAAACCAATGTTTTGCCAAAGAAGTAGGAAAATTTGTAAAGATTATTTTATATATATATATCTCAATACAATAGAGAAGATTAGAAAGAAAAAGATTAGACTTTATTTCTTAGACAATAAAAGACATGAAATTTGTAGGAAATACAGTGTTCACATATTTAGCAATACACAACTGAACAGCCCATTACATTAACAGATTAAACAAACAAGTCCCTGGGAGGAAAACAATATGCCTTTACCTGTAAATCATTAAGTCCTCTTGAATCAGAGTCAGATGTATCTCTGTAAGCTGAGCTAGTCAGTTCCACATCCGTTGAGGCTCGACTCCTTTTCTTCAGAGGTTTACAAGAATCTGAAATCTCGCTGGCACCTTAACACAACATACTAAAATTAGTTTAATATATGTTCTCAACTTTTTGCTTAAAATTAATAAAGGAAAAAGAAAGAGATAGTCTGAAACTGTTACTTCATTTGCTAGCCTTAATTTTCAGTTTGCAATTTCGATGCTAGTTTAGTTCTCCCTGAAATGCTAATTAACTGAAAACCACCATGGGAAGACCTTTTGACAAACTTTGGAACATGCTGACATAGTGGAGGAAGCTACTAAATTGCCTATAAGAGAGCATAAAACCTTAGGAGATCACCTCTTCATCATTCATCTTTAAAATATGGCTAAACAAGGATTTTTTTTTTTAAATTAAGAAATGTCCAGAAGAAGGACTTGTATTATCTGCTTACAGCAGATTAACAAACACTTTCCTTCCAACTAGCAAATCACAAACAAACGAAAAAACAACAAAAAACCATCCCAGAAAACCCTCACAAGAGAAATTAACATCAGCATCTATCACGTTCATCACCCGAAAGCGTTAAGACCTCTGCAGTTTACACAGAACAAAAATCACTGCTGAAGTCTGAAGGGCCGGGAAGTTTTAATCAAGTTTCTCTTGGTAGGTCACTCACCTTTCTGCAATCCTGTCTTCACTGCTGTCAGGGGAACCATTTCAACCTGTTTGAATAGGAAAACCCACAGTTAAAACCAGAGGAATTTTTCTCCCTAGTATTAAAAAGAAAACATTCAAGTTTAAGCGATTAGCATCTCTGAACTCAGATGTAGGCTGTCATCCCCTTCTTAGCGTGAGCCTTCTCGTCCTGTTGGATTTAATCCTAGCTGCCTACGCTGAACGCCGGGAGACAAGGCAGCCACAGGTCCACCACTAGCAAGGTCCTTTCCAATCACTCCCTTTAGGCACGAAGATGACGGGGGAAGCGTTACTTGTGTCCAGCAGCGCAGGAGCGGGGTTCGTTTTGGCAGCCAAACCCTGATGCTTTTATAAAACCCCACACCTGTGTAAGCACAAGTTCCTCTTCACAGGTACGACACTTGGGTTAGCGAGACTCTTAATTAACACATCGTCGCCCGTGGAGGTGTTTCCACCAAGCGTGTGCTCCCCAGCTCCCGGGAGCTGCCCTCCTCTCTGTATAGAGCGCTGCAAGGCGCCCAGCGATGGGGAAGGACGTGGCCCGCGGCGTTGCAGAGCTCTATACAGCTGGAAGCTCGCTGTCCGTACACACTTCAAGCAGACAAAGGTTTACAATCTTGCAAAAACGCTTCAAGTTCTCGGTCCTGTATCAGGAGGGAAAGTTTAGAAACTGTTCTGCCAACGTACACGTAACAGGGGAGAACCTGGCGGCTGCACAGCAACTACAGAAGAAAGCTGTTGCCTAAAATGCTGGTTTTTAAGGTTAAGAATTACAAGCTGTTTCTTTACAATGTGGTTACATATGCATATAGAAACACATTTAGTAAATATTTAAGGATTGTTCTATAATTTTTTTAAAAAATATTTTATTTTGTTGTACAATAGGTAAAAACATACAATAGAAGGATTTGTATAGGATACATTTGGTAATACAAATATAAAATCTAAACAATCACTTTTATTTCTCCACTAGTCACTGTAACAGTAGCATTAACATTTTGTTTTTCCCATTAATTGTACTCGTTCCAGTTATAATTTTATACCAAGTTGTTGCAGACTAATTTGGGAATCAGTTGCAAGAAAACTCGACTCGGGGGTAACAAATATTGTTGCATAATTGTAAGAAGTTAGTAAGATTTGGGTTTTTTTTTTTTCATATAACTTAATACATTCAAGGTTACGCGCATGACAGTGCATTTGTGTTTAATTTTTTAGTCACATACTTTTCCTGAGAAAAGCACTTTAACGTTCATAGCCTTAGTTAGCTGGGTAATATAAGCAAGCAAAGCTAACCAGGACCCATGAAGTTCGTATTGTTGGTTCTTATACCTTTGTTAAATTAAGAAACATTTACAAACATCAAAGAACTCGTTGGAAAATAGGGAGGCTGCAACGCTTCGTGATGAGAGGCTTGAGGGACCACGTCAGGTTATCTCACACCCAACACTGAAGTTGCTTTAAAGTTTCAGCAAGAAACTTTCTAGAGGGAGAGCATTTTTCTGCTGAACACAGATGTAAATGCCACGGCATCAAAAGAAAAACATGGGGGGAAAAAAAAAGCGCAACTGGGTCCACTTTCAATCTCTGAAGTGAATGAAGTGCAAACAAAGCATAAAGGGCAAAGAATAAATTAAAATAAAAGAGATAAAAACAATTTTTCCCCTTCCCATATAAATCTTTAGCCTGACTGTCCCTTTTAATAAAATTCTCACTGGTAAAAACTATCCTATTAAATATTTTATATAAAATTCTCAGGTTTCAAGTGGAAAGGCCTTTGAGGAGGGAAAAATCAACCATGTAAGGAAAAGAACCAACAACTGTGACAAACTTGTTAAAAAGTGTACTCAGTTTTTAATATTAACGTCCATCCACTGAACTTTCCTACTCATTTCCACGCAGAATTTGTTATAATTTTTTTTTTTTTTTGAAGCAACAACATTTGTCTGTCTGACATCCAGATTAAAGGAATGCCCTGTACATGTTAGATCTACTTAAGGAAAAAAAAAAAAGGATATCCCAGAAGATCTCTTTTGCTGATGTCTGCCAACATTAAAGTCTGACTATTCATCTTTAAGTTAAATCATTCTTAAAGTCCATTTTCAAAAGTGGTCAGATTAATCAGTCTAACTTCATTTGAAAAACAAAAACCTCAATACAAACCAGCAGCTAAATCAAGAGCAAAAAGGAAGGAACCTGGTAGCAATTCCATCAAATAGAAATTACTGAAACAAGATCATTTTGCTCAGAACAGAAATCTCAAAGGAAACATGGCAGGTTCATTAGGAGTCTTGCATCATTGCGTTCCCATTTTCCATAGCCTGACTGATACTGTGAAGATGCCAGTAGCAGAGTCACAGCAATGGTATTGACAAGGGGATTTCATGAAGGATAGTCCAAAACGAAACCCGATGGGGAAAAAAATGGAGAAAAATAAAAAGGCACCAAGATAAGCCACAACATTTATGAATACAATATATTTTAACTCTCTACATGGAGGAAGCCAACCTGCTCCTTTTTGATCTTCTTCTTTGGCACAACTTCAGTGGATTTCTCAGACTCTGAGCGGGTTCGAATCGATCTTCTCTGTTGCTTCTTTTCTACAGAACCTGAAGAAGGAAAAAAGGTTTCCATTATATGATTCCTCGTGTTGCTGATGTACAGCAAGATGTTCAACACCAAATCAACAGGTAAATTAACGAAACCAAGACTTTTTTCCTCTTTTGAATGTTTTATTTTTAAAATTCAGTTCCAAGCTATTTGCCAACTGCTGCTGGGGTTGTGGACATGTTCCGATTCCATTGACAGAGAGATCAGCTTCAGAAAGAGACACCAGTAACAGAGCAAACAAAAAGCTGGAATCCATTGTAGGGCAAACAGATTTTCATAACACACCTCTCGAGCACAGTCTTCACTTTTGGTTAATTTTTAACCAAACAGTCCATCTTTGGTGTTTATGGGAAGGTATTCACAATCAAACTTCTTGAACTAAAACAAGACATTTAAGTGGCAAAGCACAGCTTCCAAGTTTTCACTGGAAACACCAGTTCTGTGCCCCTGCCCTGCGGGGAGGACAGCCTTCTGCAGAGCTGGCTTACACAAAAACTTAAGGCAAGACCCACACGATAACACGTGCCATCAGCATGAAATCTGAATGCTCAGCTAAAGACTCTGAGAACTGAAGAAAAACTCAGCGCAAGCAGAAGCAGGGATCATGATATGTTACTGGAATTAATGAGAGTGAAAAACAAGGTTTCGAAAATGTTACCACGGAAAACAAAGGTTATTATGATGCTTCAAGAGATGAAGTAGGAGCTACTGTTTTTCTGACAACTAAGGCTAGCAAAATCAGAAGAGCTTTCTGTGCTGCAGCGCCTCCAACAAGGGCGTATCGAGAACACGTACACAACATTTAACACCACGTGCCACCTCTGAAACACAGGACACACTCAGAGCTGTACTGACAGAAAACTGGGATGTGGAGATTTACAATTATCTGTTGCAAAGCACTATTTTTGTTTTTCATTTTTGGGTGTTTCACCTAAAGAAGACGTGAATGTAAAATATTTTGTATTCTTCAAGAAAAAAATGCAAACTCTTGGGACCAGGAATTAGCTTACTGTGCCAGAAAGACATACTGTTAGAAGTTGTAAACCTGCATCTTCTTGTTAGGAGATGAAATATCTGGAGAGTTAGGCAGGCTGTCATCAGACACTGAAGGAAAGGCTTTGGAAAGTACTCCAGGAAAAAAAAAAAAAAGAAGAAGATTCATCTTGACTAATCGGATGAGCATTTTTATCACGGCTGCGTGGCTCAGGAATCTCAGTAACTAAACTTTCCAGTTGAAAAAGTTGCTGTTTTACAATAACTGTATTTACGAGGGGAAAAATATCGTTGTTTTTCAAGGGAAAAAAAGTTTTACAGCATATTAACTAATTAATAACAGTACAATGAGTTATTAAGTATTGAGAAATTAATAACTGGGCTCAACATCCTTCATGTCAGCACATATATAACTTTTGGTTCCACTGAGCTGCATCCCTTGGGAGACACACACAACGATGATGGATGTCACCACTAAAGCCAGGGCCCATCTTCTGTCACCTCTGTGTTCAGACAAAATTCTCTGAAGCAGCTTAACAGTCAATTTGAGCAAGTGTGACCAAACAGTTCATTTAATCAATAACATCTTTTCTCCCTGCACTGCCCCACTGTAGTAAACTCAGTAAGATGCAAGCCCTGTATCACAGGAGAAACTCCAGAACCAGCGCATCTAACGTGGGTTGAAAGCAACACTGATCAATGCAACGGGCACTTCTGCCTCTCCCCGCTCTCCAAGGACCCCGTGCATCACCTCCACGATGCTCCTATCCCAGCTTCGTGCATATTTTGATCCAGAGTTTCAGGACACATTTCAGACCAGCAATCTACCTCACTACTGGCCGGGTCAGGTCAGGTTAATCCTGTTTCAGCTGAACGTGGAGACCAGAGGCACTAATGAATTCTCATAATTATTCTCTTATTGTCAGATTTCAAGTTACAGAATTTTTTCCCAGCATTATGGAATTCTGTGTATCTAACTGCAGGTTATTAATAAGGACTCCCAGAGTCATTCTGGAAAATACTTTACCGTAAAGGTATTCTGAAGTTCCGGTGACCTTAAATGTGAAAAAAGGACTTCGCAGTTATGTTCCATGAGAGGGGACCAATAACTGTCTGGACTTTGGAAATGGCTTTGAAAGTGACTGTTTGGAGTGTATACTGAAGTAAAGCTCATGCACTCTATAGGGTGTTATCAGGTGGAGTTTTACGTATCCAAAAAACCTAAGAAAATGAAAAAAGAGAGGCTCAGAATTCTCACCCCCCCTATGTCTGAAGAGCCATTGTGAAGGTGAAGCCTTCAGCTCCCAGGTGAGAGAAACAGAACAGTGATCACCTCTCCTGCTGCAAGGCAATTAAAATAGCAACTGTTTGAAAAAACTGAAGTAGCTACAACAACTAAAACTGGAAAGAAGAACCACTGTGGACAACAGCAGAGGAAACCCCACTCACTGACAGCAGAGTATCTGGAGCACTTGGTCTATAAAGTCCCCAGACACAGTCCACAAAACAGTGCAGATAAAAATAAGCCTACTTAAAAACTCTACGAGTACAGAAACAGAAGCATGTTTGCAAAGGACAGTGATCCCACGTGTGCTGACCACTGAGGTTTCTGACCTGCAATCTCATTTATTTTATGTTTTGAAAGGGAGAAATAACCAAACAGAAGGACAGTTAAAGCAGAAGTGACACTTGGCAGCATTATGAAATTTTTTCTCAAGAAGAAAAGAGGAGTTTTTAGCACGTGGACTGTAAGAAATCTTCCATCTCTTTTGGCTTCCATACCACAAGCATTTGTACATCCTACTGTGAAAGGAAAATCAAGCTGTTCTGCTGCAACCTAAACTTCACTTTTACATACCCAGTGTAAAGCTAATTATGTGTGAGACTACACCAAGGATATGATCACAAGCACAGTAACAAACATGCAATAGTTAATGGATCTTACATGGCCCGTACAAAAATCTGTGGTTGAAAACCAGAAGTCACTATAGAGACTGGAAGAACTTCAAAAGCTCTTGGGGATGACTCAAAACTGTTTCTTTTCAGGAACCTCCATCTTTTCACCAAAATCTGGGTATCTGTCTCCTCTTGAGGACATATTGCAGATAAATTTCTGCTGGTGGGGAAAAGCTCAATCCCTTTGGAAGGATTCCCATTAGCTATTTCTCAAAAAATCAAAGCATGAAAACAATGTTGTTTTTCTGTTCCAAGTCTACAAAGCACTCAGATGGTTTATCTTTCACATTCTCCTCTACTACTGTACTACAAATCAAATTTCAAATGGTTTGCTCCAGGCTTTCCCTTTTCAGTCTCAAGCTCCATTATCTGCTTCAGTGGTTCTTCTCCCTCAGATACAATACTTCAAAACCTAGTGCTTTCTGATGGGGCCTCTACAATGCCTTCAGAAGGCAAACATTATCTCATTCTGTTGATGGAGGTAGTTGAAGCAGCTTAAAAAAAACCAACGAAATCACTATCCTTTACAAAGGTAATGCAGGAACTCAACAACAAAGTCTAGGAAAGCACCCATCCCGATTCAGAGCCAGTCATTACTGAACTATGCCACTTCCAGATCCTCTTCCTTTGATCCCAGCTGTTGTATTTTACATTTGGTGCCAAAAGCCATTACAATGCTCTGCTAACACACATCCACTAGGTTGTCTTCTAAAACAACTTGCCATCTGCTCTCCACAAGGCATCCATCCTTCTAACGTGTTGACTTAAGATACTGTAAGTTGCAGACGCTAAAAGTTCAGAGGCCAAACCAGCTAATCCCATCACAAAGACATCCTGTGTCTCTGAAGCATCTGGGCTCGTCATGTGTGACATTAGCCACGCTCGTTACAGCTAACATGTAAACAGAAAGATATTAATAATCATTTTTAACTAATGAGTAAGTGTCGGCTTTGATACTTGAATTTAAATCCCAGATTGCTCAAGTCCAGACAAGGATTCTGCAACTTGCCTACCTGCTGACCCAGAAGTTGTTTCAGGAGAGGACACGTTTTGCACCGCTGCTTTTTCGTTTCTCTGATTTGATGAAGAATTAAGTTTCTCTTGCCCTTTGACGCTTATTTCTGTTTTGTTACCAACTCCCTTAAAAAGAAAAAGAACAAAAGATTGTCTTAATCTATTTATGTGAGTGTTGTTGCTAACAGGCATACAGATCTACTCCTAAGTCTCAGAACAGAAACATTCAACGCTCTTCAATGCAACACATACATATGATTATCTACTACTGAGCTGCTTCCCTGCAGAACTTCCCAGCCCTCTCAATCTCCCCTTACACACAAGTTAAAAAATAAAATTAACAAAAAAAAAAATCCAGTGACTTTTCTAAACATTACCTTCTCTATAATGCTTAGGATGAAATAAATACCCTCCAGGTAGAGAGGCAGAAGAAGGAGGCAGAGAAATAGTCCTAAACCTTTTCCTTAACACTGACTGTGAGAAGCTGCTGTGCACCTGAAGGAAGCTAGGAGGCAGAACTCATTTTAAAAGTCTGTTATACAAAATATAGTTATTATTTTTTAACACATTATTAACAGTTTTGTCATCTCATCTCTTTCCCACAAACCCACTGGTTTTAAGATTTACAGAGAATTTACGTATTATTTCTACTAGGAAGCTGGAATTAAACAGCTTTAATATTTTGAATGTGTTATGAGCAAAAAACGTGACCATCTGTAGGGAGTTTCTCTGTCACCAGTCAGCATGGCCACTGCCAGAGACTTTGGGATGCACTGAAATCAAGAGATCAGCGCACTAAAAGATTCTGTTGTCACATCTGTCTTTTGTTAGATTTAATCTCTCCAATGAAAGGAAATGTGTATTGTGAAAGCTTGGTGGACACAAGTTTAAGCTCCACAGTAAGACAGACTTGGGATAATTTATGAACAAAGGAGGAGTCACTACACGAAGTACCTACCTTAGTGGAATAAACAAACTGATCGATGAGTTTTCCATCCCCAGCAGCGTTCTGAAGGGCAAAAACCTGTTCAATTTTAACAACTGGAGACATGTTACATTTCTGAAGATCCAAGTTGTGCATGGTTATGGAAGCTGGTAAGGATTTTCTAGCTGCAGCTGTTTTCCATGCGATTTTCACAGGAGGTTGCTCCTCTTCTTCCACACTTGACTGCCTCCGTTGGCTCTGTCTTCGCACCTCAGCGTTGGAAGGCGACGCCGCTGCCACGTTGGCGTGTTCCGGCTGGGTGTTCAAAGCTGGCTTCGGTCGGCGGTTCTTCTTGGTCTCTGATTTAGAAGCAGCAGTCTTTTTGGCTTTTGACAAAACCTCCTCTGGCTCTTTGTCTATATAAATGAAGGTGTATTGTTCTATCCTTTCTTCCCGAGTCATTTTCAAAGCTTTCTCAGCATGGGCAATACCAATATCCCACTGAGCACGCTCTCTTTGCGGCCTTGGTTTGCGAATCTTAAGGAACAGAGACAAGCAGCTAATTACACTGAAGATTTTGCCATGTACAGCACTTAAAATGCAATCCTGAGGTGCTTTAAATCTCTCAGGCAGCAGATTTCAGTTTGCTGTCCGTTTACAGGGTATTTTTCAAAGGTGGACAGTGAATACCCTGCTCAGAGTACAAGCAGACACTCGAGCTGGATCATATGGCCATCACAATCAGAAGGGTCTGCCCTGAGTTACCACTTCACTACAGACAAGAACAGGCAGTATTCAAGCCCCTAATTCTGTTATGAGACACAGAATTAATCCTAATTTATTTAGTTTTTAAATCTTCCTTATTTTCTAGAAGCACTCTTTTCCTTCCACATCAATATTTTGATTAGCATAAATATTGATCCAAGCAGTCCATCTACGCAGTAAGTAATTCCTGTAGCTAACACTTCCTTTCCAATAAAACAATTAAAGAACATATCCACTAGTATCAGGGGCTGGAAGAGTGTCCTTTAAAAACTGTATTTTCCAAAGGACAGGTTAACAGTGAACACACAGGCACTGTTTTTATTTAATATTCTAACACAGATGTAAAATTATCTCTAATACCCAGGATGACGACCATCATGAGGAACCCACAAAGCAGGTTCAACGATCAGCCACAGAAGTCCTAAGAATATGGAAACATTTTTGGTATCTTTGTGAAAAAAAAAAAAACAAACCAAAACACTTCTTCCAGTGAAATGCAGACAAGTCTTTACGGGGTAAAAGTACTGCAGCGTTTCAGAACTGCCCCACAAGAGTTCCACTTACACAGGCACTGCAGACAACCCTCTACACAATTAAGTGCTCACCATACCTTCTGCTTCTCAGAGTGGTTGCTGGCTTGCTTAGCAGCCTCAGCCAGTAACTGCTCGTACTGTTTGTGTCCCTTGTACTCTCGAACCCGCTTCTCATGCACCCACGCCCGCTCTGGCTGGTTGCTGAAGAACTGAACGTGGTATTCACGGGCACCTGAAAATGAGAAATTCCAGTCAGCAGTTCTATCAGCATCACTTTGCTGGGTTAGCTTAGGTTTTCCTCCTCCACATCACTCCATTCCTGCAGCTGGAAGTACCTAGCAAAATTTTAGAAATAACACTAAATAAATTTTAGATTTAGAACAGTTTAAGATGGGAAGATTGAATATACCTTGCCCAGACTGAACATTCTCACACTTATCTTGGGAAAAGTGGGAGCATCTGTGCACAAGCTGAGGTTGCACAGGCTCATCTGTAAGATAAGTACTAAGTACTTAATAAGTTCTGGTGTTATACATTTCAGGAATGTTCAGCACACGTTGTCCTGTTCAGCACACACACAAGCAGAATTCATCCCGCAAAGGGAGTTCAAAGATAAGATTTTTTTTAATAAAGGAATAAAGGACTACAGACACTTGCTATATTCTGGCAAAGATCCTCCTCCCTTACCTCTTGTATTAATTTTGGTATGAACATCAAGCTGTGGATCACATGAAACCATGCAAGGCCACCACGGGTATGTTCCCACCTTGGACCAAACCAAATCGCCAACCTGAAACTTGACGTCATGGGTGACTTGGGTTGGAAGAGAAGGCAAGAACTGCTGGACCTACAAAGAAAACACAACCTTAAAGCCACAAAAGACAAGAGATGCAGATGCTGTCCACAGGGACTTGTTATTTTTCTCTCAGGTATCCCTGAAGTTTGATAATCTAGCATGAAATAAAACATTGTTTTAGAAACATGACAGAAAGGAGTCACACACAGGTCGGATTTACACAACAGAGTCACTGACAAACCAAGACATGCAACAGCAACCTCCACCACCACCCCTAAAGAGTTTACGTTTCATAAGCTGATTAAGAATGTTGCTTTTGGGATAAAATAAAGCAATAAATACAGTACAATGAGAAATGTTTTGATGCAGTAATGATTAATCAAGAATTTCAAAGAAATGGCAACTGATTTATCTGACAAATTAAAGGATCTATGTAATAATTAGTCCAAAAATAGTAACACACTAGAAGTTCAAGAAGTGTTAATTAGCAAATGTACTAACCGGGGTCTCCTCCAACACTGTGTCTTCTCTTGGTCTCTCTGGTAGCGTGCTAAGCCTCTCATTTGGTCTCTAGGAAATGGGTAACAATGAAGAGAAAGAAGGAAAACAAACACAAACAAGGTAAGGGGACAGTAAAACAAACAAACAAAAAAGCAGCATAATAATGAAACCAGATAGAAAAAATAATCCTCAGAGAGAAAGGCAACAATGAACCCAGAAAAGATGAACATGGTGACTCCTTATGCCCAATCCAAACCACAGCATCACCATCAAAAAATACCTTTTCTCCCTACACTATTTCCATTATCATCACACCAACACACAACAATGTTCTCCTGTAACAGGTTATAGGGAGAGCAAACCCAAATACCTCTGCACTCAGTTAACACACAGCTCCAGAGGAGCAGAGAACACCACCTGAAGGGTAACTACAGTAACACGATGGGTCTCACTGCACACCAGTTATTTGCGAACACTACATTACGAATATCATATTAAAAATACAATATGAAAACTGTAAAATTGATGGTAAATCCCATACAAATGTATTTGGAGGATGAAAAGTTAACAATGTAAAGGCCAGGGTGCATGTCTAAGGCAGGCTGAGGCACACACAGTCTGTTCTGGCCGAGCAGGACAGGAAAAGGTTTTGACAGAAGAGGGATCACCACGGAACAGAAGCTGATACTACCGTGGGGCAGCCTGATGGGAGTGTGATGACACAGAAGGTGAGAAGATAGGACATGGGCTGTGAGCTATCTGATGAGACAGAGACCAGACATTTGCTTTGACGACAGCAGAGAAGTCATCAGTCAAAGGGCTCAAAGAAGAGCAAAAAGAGGAGTCAGACACATGGTGAGAAACTAATAATGCTGTTAATCCAAATTACACCAAACCGAGTCCATTGAAAGTGACGACCCCATGTTAGTACAGAGAAAGCAGGAAACACACACGTAAACATCAGCTACAACAACCAGGGTCAGTCCTGGCACAGGTCAGTATCTCATTTAGAGCTGTCTGTAGAAAACCAGCGTTTAAGACTGACCATATTACTGTTTGCTGGGCAGAAATCACTCCTCCCTGGTACAGCAGAAAGCTCGGCAATGACTCCTGCCTTTCTCTGGCTACAGTCAGGCAGTGGAAACTTCACCTCTGAGGGCAAAGCCGAGCTGGTGACACAGATCACAAACTTTCAGCTCCTTGCCCAATACAACTAACGACAGAGTAACTTCATCTTAAAACAAGTAACGGAGCTGAAAGCGCAACAGTGTTTTTGTAACATTTTCATTTCAAATCAGTTTTTCAGGTAAGAACATCCCCCCCAGCCAGTGGGTTTCCACAGACATCACAGTGTCAGAATAAGGAAACAACTGGATCACCCTACCTTCAAATAGCTGTGCTGAGCAGAAAAGTGTAAACCAGCCAAAGTTGTACCAGAATTTTTGTTTGCTCCTGTTAAGATGCTCCTAAGTTACAAGTCTTGTACCACTAATACTAAAGATGACACAAGTGTACATGATGAACATACATGAAGATGAAATTCTGTGGAGGAAAGTCAGATGGTGGGAGGATGAAACTGAGACTGCACTAGATAATTCATAACGAAAACCACTGTCAGAAAATCCTGTTCACGTCAGGGATCTGATGTCTGAAACAAGGGTGAATAACGTGAAAGATTTTATTGCAACAGCACCTTTTGAAAGGCAAATGGAAGCTACAAGGAGGAGAAGAGCACGACCAAGATTTCTGGTGAATTCTGGGTGACAGGTATGACCAGAAGCTTGGAATGTGAGAGGCAAGGTTTTAGTTCAATTTAGGAAAGACAACACAGTGGGAAAGACAGAAGATTATGTTCTCAAGATGACCAAATAACACCAGTGAAACAGAGGGACAGGCAGAGCTGAAGCTTCAAGAGTAGAACTGGAGTTCCTGTTAAAGCAAAACCGACAGCCTGATGTGGGGGTGATGGAGGTCTGGGGAGGGCAGAAAGCCCGGATAGAGACTGTGTCTTTAGCTGCACTCTGCAAGAACCAAACTCACTGAGACTTGGAGGATAAATGTACAATTACAGCAGCAAACAAAGGGCAGGAGGATGAACAGCACAGGAGCAGCAGGGACGTTCAGCAGAGAGCTGACCAGGAGAACAGACCCCTCCTCACACCTCCGCACGCAGGTACAGCGCGGGCACGAGGGAGATGCTGTTCCAGCATCACCTCCCCATCCTAACGGCCTCCTGGCAGCAGGGTGCCAGCCCGACACCTCAGTGGCTTCAAACAGCATTTCTGAGATCAAGAAAATGATGTACAAACACAGCAATGGATGGCTGCATTTTAATTTTAATGTTATTGGGTTTTGATTGGACAGTCTGTTTCAAGTTTGGATTACAATGCTTATTGAGATCTTACTGAGTGTCAGCAGAATCAACTCTGAGGATCAAATAGAGCAGAAGCTCAAATTCTGGACACACCCCCAAGATGACCTCTGGAAGAGGTGCACGTACCAGAAGGGAGAGACAACAACTATAAAACTTGTAAATATTCCTGGTCAGGGGGGGATGTGTGTGTAATCAGCATGTATAATAATAATAACAATGGTAATACACCAAGCACACACTCAGTCAGGACAGGATCTTCTCCCAAACCCACCCAGTGCAGCGAGTACCAAAGGGCTTTGCAGGAATTTACAAGAAATAACTACAGACTGAAACAACCCAGCCCAGCCTGAGCTCAGCAATTTCTGTCCTGGCCTGATATGGCAACTTCCCCATCCCTGACACTGGCCACTCCTCTCTGCTAGCCCTTCCCCTCCAACTAGGAAATACAGAAAGCAGTATCACAGAGCTGGAAGCAATAAGCAAGAGAAAAGGAAACTGAAGTAAAGAAGTGAGTTATAAAACTGAAGAAAAAAGAACGGCTGAGAGTACTAAAACCCAGTAATTTGTGTCTTGACCTCCTGCAGTCTCAGGTAAAACACCACACACCTATAAACACACACCCTGGGCACGTACAACACAGGACAAAACTCGACAGAAATGGTAACAGGCATCAGTGCTGAACTTTCCCAAAGTCTGCTGAGTCAACTGGTACTTCCAGTTTGCCTACTGTTTTAGAATTCTAATTCCTACTGGCTTCTACACATGCCACACAGCTCTGTACATCGCCACGACATTTAGAATATCTTTCAAAAATTCATTAAAAACTACAGGGCTGAATACCCCAAGTAACCTGACTGTCCACTGAAAAATCCAGTATTATTTTGAGAGGCAACGTGAGGAACGTGTAAGCTTTTGGCCAGAAGCTCCATCTTCAACACTGTCCAAAGCGTAGCTAACTCTGAACACACTAAAACACTAAATACAGATTTATTATACTATTAAAAAAATAGTATACAACTATATATTTATTA